GGTGGGATTCCTCTATGGATTTTGACACCTGGGTGAATTATCTTCATGTGAGTTGTGCATATGACACTGAACAGAAAGCTAATCAATGCAGTCAGCGAAGGTAGGTGTTTTAAGACTGCCTTATTGCCTTTCCTAAGGTTAGCTGAGGAAAATCTTTCTTGTCTCATCAGGAGGCAAGACTAATCTCAGAAAGATCCCTACAGTTTGGTTTTATACTCTTTCTCAGGGCAATACCCAGCTTGCTGCCCCAGGCTGCCCCAGCATCTCTCTATAGAAATTCATTTGCAGAAAAATTGCCTGAGGAAAATTCTCTCAAGGGAGTTACTATAGTCACCATAGCATTCAGGCCTGCATGTGCCATACTCTCCTTGAGTCCCCATGACTCTGTGCATGAAGCTTTCAAATCAGAATTCCTTTTTCAATTAAATTGTATTTTTTCAGTGTGTCAGGCCTTACACTGGTGTTTCAGTGTATTTTTGAGAAGCCGAAGAGATCCATGTCACTGAGATCATAAACCGTATTTTAATGACTGCAGACTGTAGATGGTGGCTGCCAAAGCGGGTAGAGAAAAAGCATTGTAAAATTAATATTGGGTTAGTGGCTTATCCTAAAGCAAAAGCAGTTATCAGTGAGCAAAAGGTCAATGAGTTAAAATTAATCTCAAGAATATTTCTAGTTCATTCTGCCTTTACAGAAAATGTGTGCTTGATCCACATAATTTGGCTGCATTTACACACTTCTTTCACGGATTACATAAATATGTGGAATGTACCTCCAACTCTATGCATTCAGCATGTGGATGAACTTCTTTCAGCTCCTGAGAAGTCTTGCAATTCTGTATACAATGGTGTCACTGTACATAATGTATGTGCATGTCAGCATTAAGTTTTACAGCCTAGTAAAATTTAATCCCTCTCTTTAAAAATTTGCCATGCAAGAGGTCAGCCTTCTCCCAGACTAACTTCCTGTGATTGCCAAGTTTTTCCAATTCTGTCCTCTTTCTACTATTCAGTGCTGCTTTTAATCATGGTTGATCAATGAGATCGATCCAGTGAGATCGGATCTTGCTGGACAGGTAGTCTGTTTCATCTGAAGGTGAGAGAACCAGTGTCAATGGTGATCATCTGAAGGAACCTTCAACTCAGTGACTTTTGTATATTGCAGCTGAACACAGATATTTATGTATCTTTGTTGGGCACACTCAGAAGAACTGGAGGTTGTTGCAAGCTTTCAGACTTTGTCACCCCTAATCCATATAGTTTACATTTTCCCTATCAGTTGCTGAGATCCTGTTGGATCCGTAGCAGTCAAAAATAACTTGAACTTCTTTAAATAGATTTTTTTTCTTGAACTGGAATTTAACCTGCAGTATGCATCTCTTGTCTCCACTGGTCCTGAACAAGCCTGACCAAATATTTATTTTCACTCACTGGCTAAGAATAAACATTGTCCTAAAACCTGATATCCCTGAATGAGAACCCGTTGAGCGATGTTTCTTTTCTAGTCTGGCTAAGGAGGGCTGTAGCTAAAAGACAGTTCCTTGGAGAAGCCAGTTTTATTTTAATGCCTGTTGTGTTGGAAGCAATTGGCTGTTATAGCCAACAACTCACTACGGGTGCAAATAGGGCAAATCAGCCTATCTTTCATCAGTTCTTCCTAGAAATATATGCATTGCATCTCCTTTTTGTTCAGATGCTTAAGAATTTATTTACAGTGAGGAGAAAATGAATAATGAGGCTTTTTCTGTCCCTTTTGCCTTTCCTTCCAATAATCCCCATTTCTCCTTATAAAATTCTGCAACTTCTTATGTTCCCTGTGCAGCAAAATAACACAGTTTTTCACTTAGCCCCTCAATACCCAGTGCAGATTTAGGAAAACAGAGAAAAGGTGCAAGCCAGTTTAACAGGAATATGGATGGTGTAAAGGATCTGGCAGAGATGCTGGAAATAGTTGTCAAAGTCAGCTGAAGAACCACCATGTAGTTGCCCCTTGGTGAAATAAGTCTTCATTTTAATTTTTTATTTCAAATGAACAGTTTAATTAACTGTTCTTTTGCCTGAACCGGGAACTGAAATGAGATAGTTTCACTCAGAGATTAATCTAAATCAGAAGTGATTTGAAAAACATGTAGCTTCTTGTTCTTAATTGTCGTGCTGCTCTGTGGGAGAAACACAGCTTTGATGATCTTAGACTTTGAGAAACACGCGCTCCCTCTCAGCCTGCTGTGTCAGGCAAATAGAATATGACCCAAGGATCTGGATAATCTCTTTATAAATAGCAGTTCCGGGTGTCTTTTGCCCGTGAGACTCATTTAATAGCAGTACACGTGGAAAACTTTCTGTGGCATAAAAATACAGTGTGATGTCATTCAAGATTTCCACACATCATGCTAATATCCAAAGGGCAGAGTTGAGGCTACATGTGCAACCTTCACTTTGCAACTTCCTGGCAGTCAGAGGTTTAATTTTATGACTTTAGTCATATATACCGTTGTAATTTTTTTCCTATTAACATTTCAAATAGTTTTATCAGAAAGAGGAGAAAATGTCCTAGGCACTGCATACCTTCAGTCCAGATATGTGCATGGGGAACTTCTATTCAGTAAAGCTTGGGAAGGGAACCACTTGTTAGAATGAAAACAGAAGTGTTAAGAACAGGGGAACAGGCAGACCTACTTCCTACCATCCAGTTATTTTCCGGCACAACAGTATGAAGTTGCTGGAACTGAAGAAAGCAGAAAGCAAAGGAGGATCAGTGTTAGTGTTTATTGGAGTACTTCCCATGGCTGGCTGTAGTCAATAATACAGGATTTTTTGAAAAGGAAAAGTGGAAAGTGCTTATTACATTTAACTGCGATACGCTGCTTGAAGAAACTGAAAGCCATTCATCCATGCCAATGCAGACCAGTGTGCTTGGCAGTATTCATGCTCACAAGGGGAGGCTCCAGGACTGTCTAGAAAATTCTGTGGACTAAACTGCCCAGAAGTATGTTGTAAAATCTGGTGTCAGCACAGTGAACACATCATAACACATCACCAGTAACTAGCAGTATACCCCAGAGAACCCTACTGGGTCCATTCATGTTCAACACCTCTGTTAAATGTTTAGATGATGGGACAGAGTATACCCTTTAATGACACAAAGCTAGGAGGAGTGGCTGGTACACCAGAGGGTTGTGCTGCCATCCAGAGTGACCTCAACAGGCTGCAGAAATGGTCCAACAGGAACCTTATGAAGTTTAACAAGGGGAAGTGTAAAGTTCAGCACCTGAGAAGGAACAGCCCCAGGCACCAGTACCTGCTGGAGGCCAACCATCTTGGAGAGCAGCTCTGTGGAAAAGGACTTAGGGGTCTTGGTGGACACCAGGTTGAACAGCATTCTGCCCTTGTGGCACACCTGGAGTATGGTGTCCAGTTCTGGACTCTCTGCAGAGAGTCCAGAGGAGGGCCACTAAGTTGATTAAGGGACTGGAGCATTCCTTATATGAGGAAAGGCTGGAGAAGTTTCATAGTTGCTCAGGGGCATCTCACCAGTGTTTATGAAGTAAGGCTGTAACGAAGGGCACAAATTGAAACACATCATGTTTCTTCTGAACATCAGGAAATGCTTTTTCACTTTGAGAGTGACTGAGCACTGGCACAGGTTGCCCAGAGTGGTTGTGGAGTCTTCATCCTTGGAGGTATTCAAAAGACGTCTGGACACAGTCCTGGACAACGTGTTGTAGATGACCCTGCTTGATCACGGGGAAGGTCAAAATGACCTCCAGAGGGCCCTTCCAGCCTCAATCCTTCCCTGGTTCTGTAATTCTGTGATCATGCTTTAGAGCCAAAATACCACATTAAACCTTGTTGTGGACTTGCTAAAGGCAAGGCTTGGTTAACACATCTACCGTGGCTTCTTGTTCATGACTGCAGTAGTCAAAGGCAGCTAGAGAGATGCCAACCATATCAGACCCCAGTGGAGTTGTCTACTGAAGCAGCATGCTTCCATCTTGTTATCCCCGTGGGACGTATGTAAATGGGTAATAGAAAATATATAATGGCATTTCTAAGTCCATTTAGTAGAGAAATTCTTGGAAGTAATCAGATATTTTTCTTTTCTGAATATCAATACAGAACATGTTCTATGTGTACTTCTTGTGCTTTGTCTTTGAAGATAGTACTTTTTTACTATATAAAAGTATCTGTTTAGTAATATAGTACTACTAAATTATCTAATAGTTTTACATAGTTGAGAGACTAATTGTGTTCTGTGCTGTGTGATAACTCTAATGGAAATAGTTTAAAGGAAGCCCCTTTTTTAGCACAAAGGACTCTGATGCAGCAAAACCTGCCTGTGTCCCACTCTTCACTGGGGCTCTGTGTTGCTCCTGTTGTTTACTTCAGTCCTATGTGAAGTAATGAGATGAGTGAATTCACATGAATGATGAAAACAGCTGAGGACAGTGTTGTGCAGGCCAGTGAATGTACTACTGGGAAGATTCATGAGTCCAGAAACCTCAGGATGTGCAAGAGTTCAGTCAAAACACAGGCTGCAGTGACTGATTGTTTTTTTTCAACATCTTTCTTCTGTATTCCATATAAAGCTTGTTAACCTGGGGTAAGGATTTGTAGTCAAGGTGAAGTGGGATAGCCCTTGGTGTGGTACGTTAGCAGGAGAAAAAGCTTTTACTTTGAGTGTGCTGTTACCTACTGCTGAAGAAATAAGTGTTTGTGGTTTCCATTGCTTACAACCAGTGAGAGCAAAAGGTTTTATCAAAGTAAGCTTAGTGTGTGAACAATATTTTTTAAAACCATTAATGCAGAATTTATTTGTGATATGCTTATTTTTAAACAAGGAGTAATTCTTTACTAGTATGCAGTGTGGAGCTTTTCATGCCACTCTACTGTGCAAATGAATAAGATCTGAAGCTGACATTCTAAAGCAATTTTTACTTCTACCAGCCTTTTAATGCATGATTTACTGTAAATGTTCAAAAATATATGTAATATTTTTCACAGCTGCAAAGGTTTTTTGAGATATTCTTCAAAAGCAGTTCTCCCCAACAAGCCTTCAACAACATGAAGGAAGCTATAAGCAAACTTCTACTTATAACTGAGGTCTTCAGTGAATCATCTGCCTCAGGACCAAATCAGTAAGTGACTTGCAGTGGTCATTGCTATGCTATTGTCGAGATAGCTCCTTAGAACAGAATAAAAATTGTAGAGGATACACGACTCCTAAAATGAAAAATTCCCCTCTATTTCATACTTCCTTTTAAGGTGATGATATGCTGCATATAAGGAGTAAAACTCTTCAATATCCATAGTGCTTAAAGTTCGTGAAAAGATTATGATGAATACTTACGACCAGACACTGTGTCTTGATGAGGTGTTTCAGGCAGCACAAATGAACAGAAATCACTCACGATGGGGCTAGTTCTAACATATATAAAGCTGTATTTCCCTTCAGTGACCCTTCTGTCATATGTCAAATATTTAACGTTAGAGCAGTCCAGACGATTCAGAGCTGGCTGTGTCAGGCAATCTGAACAAGAGACACTTTAGAATACTTTATGAAATGTACTGTAGTAAATATACCTAATCAGCAACAGTCACATTTCTGTGGGTTTTAAATCACTATAATCACTTCTATCAGTGTTACAGTTCTTACACATAAATCAACTTCTATTATGTAATATTTTTGTTAATTAAAATGAATATTTGTTATATATATATGTTATGTCACATCCCTGACATTTTAATGATAAATATGAAATAAGTTACTACTAATAAAATTTACATGTTTTATAAAGCTATTTGAGAACCCAGGTGTTTTAGTAGCAGTAATATAAAGCTCATTATTTGACTTATGCAAGTTGGAAATAAAGCTTACATTGTGAGCGGAGAAGGTAGAGAGGACGGAGGGAGCGTAACAGGGATGGAGCTAGTTTGACAATGGCCCAAACTCTAACATATTTTACCAATTGGATGGATATCTCTGGTTTGTGTAGACCAAGACTTGCTTAGAGCTCCTGGCCCATGCCTTCAAATAAACCCATAGCTGCAGCTCAACTCTTTGGCTCCAGCGAGCCCAGAGAGTTTCACCATCTATTGCCCAGATGTCTTCAGAGCTTTTGCAGAAGCTGATTCTCATCAAAAGGCAGCGTAGTTCATCTCCCTCACTGGTTTAAAAGTCAACATGTAATTACACTTTAATATAGCACTGTTTTCATTAGCTCACAATCTGACTCCGTCTATCTTTAATACTTCTGGCTTTTCTTAGAAGTTTTATTTAGTCTGTATTAGATGCTGTCTCTTGACCTATGTGTGTATGTTCTTGTGTGTGCTCTCTGGATCTGTGTGTGGATGTCATTGTAGCATATATAGGACCATGGTCTAGTGGTGGACTTGGCAGCGTTAGGTTACTGTTTGAAGTTGATGATCATAAAGATCTTTTCCAACTTAAATGGTTATATGATTCTCTATTTCACGAGTACCTAACTTCACTGAATCTGATTCCTTTTATACTGTATTTCAGATGCAGCCAATGTTTTCAAATGCTAACCTTTGACATTGGATTCGGCACCTCCATATACCCAGTGGTTCTTAAGGTGAGAAAATTGTGCAAGTTATTTCTTGACCCAAAAAAACTTACTCCGAAAAGAAACATCAGGGAACCCTCTTTGACAGGTACCCTGAAATCTTGGAGAAATGTACAAATACAGCAATACTAATTTTGCCTAAAAGTGGGGAGTTGCTGTGGCAGAAACCAGTTTGTAAGGGAAATAGTTCCTGTGATGAAGTTTGTCACACTACTGAAGTTTCCATTTTAGCATTAAGGGACTATCACCCCAACTATCTGTGAAATAAAATCCATAGGAAGCATTGCATGAATGTAGAGACAGGTATTATCTCTGCCAGAACAGACATGAAGGGAAAAAGTTAAAATACCACAACTGGCTTTTAATAAAAATGTAAGTTCTCAATGAATTGAATTGTACTTCTCCAGCTCATGACTGTTTTGACCTCCACTGTGCTGCTTTCTTCCTGCATGGTCCTCAGGGCCTTCAAAACCAGAGAAATAAGACCTGGGCACAAACTCCCTGTGCCAGTTTTGTACCACTCCTACCTCAGAGCAGCCGGGGCAGAAACAGAAGTTGTACTGCTTTCCAGCTGTTTCTCATTGCGCCTGTATATACTCACAAATATGTATAGACCTGCGTATATAAAATCTTTGTCCATAAGTATAAAACACAAAGCAAATAAAAATAATTTAAAAAAAGTAGATATATCCTAGGAATTACAAGAGAACACTTCAAAAATGCATCTTCAGCAAAAATCTGCTCAGGTTTCTAGTAACAACAGTGCACTCAGTCTCTCCATCCTTCACAAAAACAAAGATCCTCTAAACACAATGAAAGAATGTTCATATGAGAGAAAGTTTGTACAAGTTGTTAAAAAATCCATGAAGACAATATCCTTCATTAGTCTGACAAGACTTGTTTAGCTATTATAAGAAATGTGACATGTTATTAACTGTATAACAGGCTGTAAAAAAAATTCTGCCAGGAGTTGCTTAAAAAACTAAACATACAACATAATGTTTACCTGCCTGTATAGCAGTCTCAACCATCAGCCATGATCCATAAAGGTACAGCCAATCAGCCAATCAGTTTAATAGTTTCTTATGAAAATGCAAATTAGTCTAAAAAAACCAAGTTGATAATTACTATGATTTTTGACTTTGAATAATATCCTTTGGAAACCGTATTATGCACACATCTCATGCAGCTTGAAGTTACACGGTTTTATGTTTTTATGTTAAAATACTAATTTATTCGTATTTTATAAGCATGAGTTTATTCATTTGTGTTTACATATTGTAAAACTTATACTTTCATTTGTCACAACTCCTAAACACCAGAGTTTTGCAAGAGTTGTTAAGCTGACTTTTTTCTTAATTTTTAACTAAATTTCAAATCAAGCACATGAAAAAAAAGCTATTACATGAGAATGCAATATTACACTCTATCCACAGGAGGTCAGCAAACATTGTGATGTGTAGTTACGATGGAAAATGTGGCACAGAATTTGTTATATTATAATCCTGTCTGGTTTATTAGTATTATGACCTGTTGTTTTAATACATAGTTACAGTTTGGAATATGCGGTTATGAGAACACTGGACTTGATATTCAGACTATAAGTTCTTACCTTGTTTTCCAACAGGTGCATGAAAACTTTGACTTTCAAGGTGAGGATGAATCAAATATTCAGGACCAAACTTTGAAAGAATTGCTTTTTGAAGACACTTTTAATTTTCTCCTATCTAATGAATCCTCAACAACCAGTTTCATAGAAGCTTTACAAAAAATATATGGATCAGCTCTGAGTAAGGTAGTTCATTCCACCTTTTGCTTATTATTAACTATTTGAAAATATTTAATTCTAAATTATGTATGGCTTTCTGAAATTTTGGTGCCAACTTATAAAATGAAGGATTTATATAATCAAAGCTACCTGTTACTGAATTTTGGTGAGGCACTGGAATGGGTTGCCCAAGGAAGTTGTGAATGCTCCATCCCTGGCAGTGTTCAAGGCCAGGCTGGATGGAGTCTTGGGTGACATAGTTTAGTGTGTGGTGTCCCTGCTCATGGCAGGAGGGTTGGAACTAGATGATCTTAAGGTCCTTTCCAACCCTAACTATTCTATGATTCTATGATTTTATATTGAACAATCACATTTTGTTTTAATAAAGATTCATCTCTCAAATAGTCATTCCCCAAAGTACAATATTTTAAAGACAGATTTTAAATATTTTAAAGATACTTTAACAAAGTAATTTCTCCACCATTTTTAAATGGTCTTTTTAAATATACAGGTTTGTGTCTTAGTCAATTCTAGGATTGTCTGAGTTAGTCAATTCTAATTCAGACAAGGAGGTTCATGAGCATCAGAATTCACTTGTTTTCTACTACTCTGTGTCTTACTCTGAATGAAAGGTCCAGTTACATTTTTTTGCATTTATAAGACCTGCATAAAGTTTGTATTACTACTGAAAACTATTTCCAACAAGGGGGGGTCTCCTGTAGCATATTTCTCTCAGACTAGTCACTTTTAAGGGTGCATTTCTGAGGAACCCCCTGCTTGCAAGATTTACAGGGCCTAAATTAGCCATGTGACTTCTGCCTCTCAGATAGGTGTGGCTAAAACAGGATCATGGGTGCTAAATTTATGACAGGATAAAGTAGGAAGCTGCAGACACGTGCACATGTATGATATGATAACCTAAGTCTGCATTCTATAGGAGACCAGACCACATTTCAGTGTCCACTTCATTGTCTATATTTTATGCAGTCTCTTCTCCTGGTAGTTTCTATGGGTACTTTTCTACACAAAGCTAATGCACAGTCTGCTTTATTCTAGACTGAGAAATGGGAAAAGCTATCAAAGAGCTGGCTTGGACATGACTTTGGATAAGGTTAGGGCAAGTTGAGAGCTGCTATAACTTGTTCCTTTGATCACCAAAAAGATTGGGGTCTAAAGAAAGCACATTGCTTTCCATGTGATTTGACCAGAATGTGCTGCCATTTCCTTCATAGGATGGAACTTACCACAGAGAAGATGAGCAATGTTTGTCTTTAGAAGAGATAAATTCAATGATTACTTTCATAAAGGAGATGAAGAGTCTTGGACAATTTGAGCTGGTAAAATGTTAAGGGTTTTGTTTTATTGGATACATATTTTTTGTAAATCTCTTAATATTTCTCTTTCATTACCATTCATTGCTGTCTCTGGCACATGTATAAGGCTGGATGGACAGGGAAGCAGGAGATAGAGGTTATGCTGATTTTATTTCGGAGGATTTTTGGAATTTAAATTAAAATAGATAAATAAAACTGATAATTTGAGTAGAGGATTCCTTGAAAAGGACAGCTAAAGCAGAAACAGAGACCAGAAAATAGAATGAAAAGAAAAGGATGAACATTATGTAAATTACTAATGAGTTGGTAAGAAAATAGAATGGTAATGGAGAAAAGTGGGTGTGAATGGAAGAACTGGAGACAATACAGCACCGAGATCATGACCAGAGAATAGATGAAGAAGTGGCAAAAAAAGAAAGTGTAATATGTAATATGTCATCTTCTTCATACTTCAGGAGAATTCTTTTTTGGTGAAGAATAGAGATGGAGGAATAACAGTCATTGTCTCTGAATAGTCATGGCAGTTATTGAGGGAAATGATGAGTATTAGAGAAATAAAAGATCTGCAACTGGATCTATTGCTTGGAAAGTTTGCATGATATTAGGATTTCTTCTAGACCTCCTGGATGAGTATCAGGGTTGGAGACTGATGAGACTTTCTGAAGAGGGATTGAGTTGAATAGATCTGGAAGTCAGACCAGAAGCAAAGGTGTGAGACCTGCATGTCAGTAGTAGTAATCCTGACTTGCAAGACTGAGCAAGACAATCACTTTCTACACATGTGGGAAAGAGCACTAATATATAGCTGTCCGTATGCTATATACTTCGTCATCTGATCGTTTCTCTCTTCGTTACATTTTACAAATATAATGTGTAGTCTCTAATCAGTGTCTCTCTTCTCAGCTTTTCCCTTCTGCTGCGCCCCAGATTCAAACTTTACTGCACGACATTTATCACATGGTGGACCCAATGAGACAACTTGGTTCAGTCCTGACAGTGCATTGGTTGATTTCCAGTTTACTTGAACAATTCCAGTCCATGACTAAAGAGGCACAAACAAATCCTTCAGAAGGGTAAGATAGCTATAATATGACATGTTGAGGGTAGTTTTTCAAATTATATTAACTGCAGCAGATCCAGTGAACATCATAAAACTTAATCCTTTAGTAGATGTAGGTGGGTTTACAGCACAGGTCTATCATCTCATCCTGGAGCAGTGTCAGGCATTCTGGCATTAGAGATGTAGTTAGGTTTCTATATAGGACAGGTTTTTTTCTTTGCTTCTTTTTTTTAATACAGACAATTCTGGATTAAAAAAAAAGAAATAATTTGAGCTACAGTAGATTTATTTTTCTAAGAAATATGAATTATTTCTTAGAAATAGGTGGGTTGTTTATGAACAACTGTTAACTCAAAATTAGGAATGCTTACCAGGATTGAGTGTCTTTTAATTTATTCACCAATTAAAAGCAAAACTGTAAAGAAAATACAAAATTTCAGGTGAAGATTTTTTCAGAAGGGACCAATAATTTTAGGTGGCTCTAAATTTTCTGTAAAACAAGTGTGTTCCATTCCAGTGAGTCTAAAGTTAAACGTACAAATGACATCATTTTGTACATTTTGCTTGGAGAACACCATAGTGACTATAAAAGGCATCTGTAAGATTTCTTAAGTTTTAATTTTGTTCCTCGTTGAACTGGGTGTGGTTTTCAGCAAGTCAGTAGTCATCTGTATCTCTGTTTGCTTAGCTATAAAGTGGAGCTTATACTTTACCACCATGCTAGGTAACTGTTTATTGGTGTTTTGAAAATACATAGTTCCATGAATGTGCTAAGTATTATTGTTGCTGCTGCCAGCCACTCCATGAAAACTAACTCAAAGATGCAGCTGTTTGCATTCATGTGTAAGCCCTTGCCCTTTTGCCAAAATATTTAGGTTTGCATATCAAAGCATACCAGCCTTTAGCAGCTTTCTGTTCTAATCTAAGCGGTGCCACTCACTCACTTTGAGCAAGCCCCTTGGCCTCTTTTTTTTCTTTAAGCTGAACATTATTGTGTATGTATAAATATGTAGAAGTACCATGACCTTTCTCCAGGGCATAGGCCAATCTGCTTCTTTGCACTGTATTTTTCTGCTAATAGTGCCATTCTGTCCATTCACTGTATAAAAGAACATGTGCTTTGACATTGCAAAATCATAATCTTCCACTCCCATAGCTACATGCATGTGATGGTGAAGCATATGTCAGATATGCGTGTAATTATACTTAATTGCAAGGAAGAAAGAGCTTAGTAAAGTTTACTCCCCATGTAGCTCAGGTGTGCATTCTCTCTAAGCTTTGATTAAGTTTTTTTTGAGATTCCCAGATTTGATGAGTTTGTGTATCAGAACAATTTTCCTGAATTTCTTCAGTTAGGGCCAGGGTGTTTTGTTGATTCATCTAGCAGTTCTTATTTCTCTGACTATGCAAAATTGGTATTTCTATTTACAAAATCCAGTGATTTGCACAGCTGACTTTCAAGCAGACAAGATACTTATGGGAAAAGTAATGACTTCTGACTTGGGTCTTGTACAGTTACTCTCTTCACTGATCATGAGTATACAGGATGAAGAAAGGATTTAAAGGTCTAATTTTCTTAACCCATTTCATCTACATGACTAGTATTGAAACCTTAAATGGCATTAGTGATCTCTCTGAATTCCTTCCACAGGAGAAGCAAGAACTCTAGAAACTCATCTCAATCTATAATGAAATGGTTACAGCCTAGGTAAGAATGACCATCTCAGATGTATTGGTATAACATACGACAAAGTTATTTGAATGTGAGGAAGTGGTACTACCTAACGTGCACTGAAATCAGTTTTCTGCATTGTTCACACACTGTTTTTTAGCTTTGCACTGTTTCAACTTGTGACTAAGATGTACATCAGTACTGTCTTTTAGAATAGGGACTATGAAGTATTGTGGCAAGTACGTTTGGCTGTGTCAGACAGCAGGGTAGCATGGTAGGATCAGATTAGTGAGAAAAGCCAACCCCTCTGTATCTGCAGACGGCAGAGCCTAAGCAGGTCAATGAAGTTGCAAATGCTTTTATGAAATCAAATAATGTATTTGGAAAAGTGTTACTAGCTTCCTCTATGCAAGCCCCAAGTAGAAGCAGCAGCCCTGAAACTGAATTTGGTTTGAAAATAATTTCTTGGAGTTTAACCTGGTCATGCTCATCACCTGGGCAGTTTGAGAAACAAAAACATGGTTTGGCCTGTGGTGCAGAGAAAGACAACAGCAAGGAAGTCTGGATAAGATTGCTGATCTGCAATGGGGGGAATGAGAGAAAGGGAAGGAGGAAAGGAGAGAGACAGCTGGGATTAAGTACCAGAAAACCAATCACATTCTTCAGTCTGCACTTTTGTATTTCTCTTTGGAAGATCAGCACAAGATACTTCATTCAGTGAACCAAATGCCCTCATGGAAACTCTGTGACTGAGGCCATCCAACCACTCTACAAAACAGAGCTCACACTGCGGGTTAATCAAACAGAAAAATATTGCTAGTGATCATGTCTCACAAAATTACCTCCTGTGGCTTCTCATTTTCAAGAGACCTACAAAACATTATCTAAAGAAATAAAATTCTTAACTCCGCTGAATACTGAAATAAAAATTTTTTCTTTATGACCCATTTAAAATTGCACCGTCCACAAGTAACGCATCCGCTGGAGACCACAAAAGTGACTACATTTTTTCTTTTTTTATCTACCTTTTGAAAGATCCTCATGTAGATTCACAAGCATGTACTCACCTAGGGTACCTGACATACAGTCATTAGTTTCATTAGCGATAATAGGCAATGTGCATGTCTGTGCTTTATAGCTCCTCCAAGGTACTAAATAAATAAGAGGCCACTCATAAAGATGAAGGTTCCTTCTTGGGTAACAGTGTGTAAAGGAAAGGACTCTGCAGAGTCCAGGATCTCAGCTGCTTCCTGAGGAAGAGTTTCATAACTGCATCATTCCTCAGTCTGCTGACTGCAAGGAGGTTGGACAAAGGAGTACTTGATGGTGCTGATTATTAAAAAGCCCAGACTTCAGCAGAGATAAATCGTGAATAATTTAGGTTGGAAAGGACCTTTAAGATATTGAGTCCAACCGTTAACCTAGCACTGCCACATCCACCACTAAAGTAAGTGCCACATCTACACATCTTTTAAATACCTCCAGGGATGGTGACTCAACCACTTCCCTGGGCATCCTGTTCCAGTGCTTGACAACCCTTTTGGTGAAGAAATTTTTCTTAATATCCAATCTAAACCTCCTCTAGTTCAACTTGAGATTGTTTCCTCTTCTCCTATAACTTGTTACCTGGGAGAAGAGACCAACAACCACCTCACTACAACTTCCTCTCGGGTAGCTGTAGAGATTGATAAGGTCTCCCGAGTCTCCTTTTCTCCAGGTTAAATAATCCCAGTTCCCTCAGCTGCTGCTCATAAAACTTGTTATCCAGACCCTTCATGAGCTTCACCGCACTTCTCTGAATATGCTTCAGCACCTCTATGTCTTTCTTGTAGTGATGGCCACAAAACTGAACACAGGGTTTGAGGTGCAGCCTTACAAGTGCCGAGTACAGGGGGACAAAACTTCCCTAGTCCTACTGGCCACACTGTAACCTGAGGATCTTTCTGTAAATACAATAATCTGAGTATCTAGCTGTAATAGTATTTTTAAACATTATAATTTGATACGCTGCTGTAATTAGATAGAGTTATTATACGTCTCTTAATGTTGTCTGGTAATAATTGTATAATTGTAATCTCCTTATGAGTTGACACATTGGGTCATGCCATTCGTTTGGGAGGCAGGACCTTGCAATATGGTGGCTGCCACAGTCCTGAGGTGTCCTCTGGCTAAACTGGCATTTCATAGAATGAAAACATCTTGTTTTCACCTTAAAATAGGGTTTGGGACTGGGCAATCAAAAAGGAACAGCAGGGAGAAAACATATTTGGCGAGTGTTAGCCATTGCCTCTTTGGCAAGCAGAAAGAGGGGTGTAAAATTAGGGTTATAACTTGGAAAAAACCCCCTCTCTAATAGATTATTAAGTTTCTCCTTTTAAGTAGGTCATGAATGTGCATGAAATTAGGGCAGTGTCTAGGTATTGTAAGCTCAGAATGACATTTTCGTGCACACACAGAGACACAAGGATCTTGTCCTAGCTGCTTCTTTCCTTATTGAAATAATGCACAAATCTCTTTTATTATTGGACAGTTTACCTTTTACCATGATTTACCTCAAAAATGCTTTCAGCAGCTCCTGTTGAAACATTAGTGATGGCTGATTGTACAGAACAATATTGCCTCCTCATTCCTTGGCACAAACAGTGACTTTGTGTCTTTAAAAATCCAAAATGAATGGCAGTGGTGTCTGGGAAGAAGCTGCTTTATGACAACTTCTACAGCAAACACTGAGAGGAAAACATCTGAAAGCTTCAAGAAATACTAATGGACCTCTGGAAAGGTCTTACCAGCCAGAGGTCCAGCAGATGGATTGGAGAGAAGCCTATTCTTGTAGGCCCCCTTCAGATACTGGAA